CATGTCAAACCAGTCTGGCAATGTAAGCGATGCCACGGAGTTGCAAACCCGTCGATCCTCAAGAGTCACTACCCCCATGAAGCGATCTGGAATGATTCAACCCTCACCTGATTCCCGTCGAACAATCACCCAGCCACTTCTGTCAGAAAGAACATCCATTGGAACCAGTAGTCAACCCAAAAAAAGAACCAATGTGCCCTCTGAATCAGATTCAACCCCTCACGCTACTCCTGTTCAGTCTCAGCAAACACGCAAGAAAGTTCCCAAAAAACCCAAAAAAACAGGCCCAGCTGCTGCAAATTCTGAATCAAACACTACTGCCAAGGACGTTGATCTTGCTCAAGACTCTGATGAAGAAAATTCTAAAGTCAAGAAACGCCAAAAAAAAAATCCAGAAGAGGATGACCTCAAAGTCTTTTTTTCAGAACCGTTTCGTCGTATAGATGATGTAAGTCTAAACAATATCATATAATTCTGTCCATGAATCAAAATTGTTTTTTTCTTTTCATTTTTTTTGATTTTTTGAGCCGGCCGATAAACCTGCGTCAACCTATAGCTGTTTGTGGTGCAAGAAAGAAGTCAGGGTTTCAGCGTCTAGTCTTTCGAATCTTTGTGTGCACCGTGATGGTTCTCGTCAAAGTGGAAGGGTCTCGGATGGATGTCCAAATCGTGCCAAAGCTATTGCCGCTGGAGCGAAACTTCCACCTACCTCCCTTGAAGAAGAAAAAAAAAGAAGAAGAATGGAAATGGCGACCTAACGACTCATTTTGCCAGAGTGGAAAAGTTCGACAATACTATCCTAAACCAAATCATAGTTTTGTGGCTCTTACGTCAGGCGATACCTTGGAATCGAGTGGAAGATCCATACCTTAAAGCGGCGTTTAATTACTGCGAACCAGCTGCAATACTCTTCAAACGAAAATGGGCGGCAACCGGGGCCAGAAAGGCTTATTTGGAATTGCAAGAGGCAATGCTTTATCGCTTAAAGGTAAGTAGTCTATTCCCAAGAATCATTCAGAAGGATTTACTTACATTTTTCATCTTATGTACCCTCAGACAGCCAATAGCAAATTTTGTTTAATACATGACGTATGGACAACCAAAGGAAATCGCTATGGATTCATTGATGTATCAGTATCTTTTATCGATAACGATTGGAATTACATGGTGCTTCATCTGAGCATCAAGTTGGTTTCCTGGGACATCAAGGGAGATATTTAGCCGAACCAATTATAAACATATTGAAGAAGCATCAACTCATCAATAAGATAAGTAATCTCAACTTGTGATCCATTTTCATAATCAAAGGGAAAAACTAATTTGTCTTCTTCTCATATATACATGCTTTGTCAGACCACCGATTCTGGATCAAATAACATGACCATGGCTGAAACAATGCACGAAAAACTGCTTGATCTGGGAGAAAACACAGATTTCGAATGGGACCCTAAGACAATGCACATTAAGTGTTTTTGTCATAAAATGGCTCTTGTTGTGAATGCTGGTTTGAAGGAATTGGGTCTCAAATCACCGCGACCACCAAAATTGAAGAAAGCATTCTTAGGTTATTTCCCCTACTCCAATAAGATGCCAAAGATAACCGAGGAGGACAAAGATGGTAACGAAGGTGACAATGAAGATGATGATTCAAACGATGGTAGAAGTGATTGTACCGAGGATGAAAAGGAGAACTCAGATGACGACGACAATGACGATGATGAGGACAATGATGATGACAATGACGATAGCACTGAGGACAAAGGAGAAAACGGGAAAAAGGACGGGAAGAAGAATGGAAAAAAGGACGGGAAGAAGGATGGAAAAAAGGACGGGGAGAAGAATGGGAAAAAGGACGGGAAGAAGGATGGAAATAAATCTTCCTCAAAGGCCAATAGGAATGATTCTAATGACTTGAATGAGTTGACTATTGCCGGAAGTCTTTTTATCTCTTGTATTTCTTTACATACTGACCAATCAAATTACATTCATAGTTGGACTTTGTGGTAAAAAAAATCACCGGCTCTTGTGTCTGGAGACAAGAATTCGAGCAAAGAGCAGCTGGAAAAGATTTGAAGAACTTGATTGCTGGTTATGGAATCCGTTGGAATATAAAATACAAAAGTCGAACTCGTGCCTATGATGCCAGAGATGTATGTTATTTATTTTGTTTCTAGCAGATACATTTACTAATATTCTCAAATGTAGGTCATCGATTCAATAGTACTTGATGAGTATGAAAAATATCAAGATCAAAGAGCCAAATCTAGCCGCAAGGAAAAGCCCAAGAAGCTCGGTCACTTCAAGGAGATTCAGTTCACAAGGAAGGAATGGGCGACAATTAATGAATTGAATAAAGAGTTAGAAGTAAGTAATTTGTGTAATATTAATATATTCAAATCCTAGTTACAATGCTGAATTTTATATTTCAGCCTTTTAATCGCCTGACCAAACTTATGGAGGGTGATGGTCCTACAGGTGCTTTTGTCTTGCCAAACTATTATTCTACAATCTCAACTTTGAAGAAGAAAGAGGACAAATGCAGCCGAGGACACGCAATGCATCCAATGTATGTTAAAATGATCAAGAAACTCGAGATCTACCAAGACGAGGCGCTCGAGTGTGAAACTCTCATTATGGCTACCTTGCTCCACCCGTCATTCCGATTAGGGCTATTCACCCATTGCTGGCCTGAAAAAGTGGACGTGGCCAAGAAACTTCTGGAGAAAGAATTGGTGAAGCGTGTGGAGGTTCTGAAGAAGAAGAAGGAAGATGATATTCAAGTAGTCAAAAAGAAAACTCCTCCGGTTGAAGAAGATGACATTTTTGAAATGTTCAGCAAGCCTGCAAAATCAACAGAAGAAAACAAAGAGCTCGAGGTATATATCAACAACATGGATCGCCTCCCAGCCATCTCTCCGAAGTGTCCCAAAGCGCTTTTGTTATGGTGGAAGGTATGAATTTCTCTTTGTTTTTCACCTGCATTAAGTTATTAATCTCATTATGATTTTCTGTTTTATTTTTATTTTTCAGGATCATGCATCCACCTATCCGGTTCTTGCATCGTTAGCCAAGGACTACTTGGCATCTTCTGCATCCTCATGTGCAGTTGAGCGTACTTTTTCCTCAGCTGCTGATGTTTGTTCAACTGGACGTGGATCATTAAAACCACGAACAATTGAAAGGTGTGTTAGTAGTCATATGTGGTTGAAAGAAGGTATTCAAGTTTCTGGTGATTATGCAAAAGCACAAACAGTTGTTAGATCTTACATGGATTTTTCCGAAAAGAAACAGTAGAATATTTTCCATCTGTGTTTTTTTATGCCTTTTACTATCTCTTTTTATCACTAATGCTTGATCATGCTTAGCCAGAAAAAAAATTCTTCCAGTTAGTTTTTATTATTTATTCCTAAACATACCTAACCAAAAAATAAACCAAAAAAAAATTCTTGATTTTTAGTTGATGATTTGTCCTGCTCCAGAATAAATGCTTGGTTTTTTTCTTGCTTTTTTCCCAAGTAATTACCTGAAAATCATTTTTTGATGACCATTTCCCATCACATCTGAGCCCCCTACACATTATTATGACTCAGTTTTCAGTTACGCTAACAGTTAGTGTAACTTTTTGATCAGTTACGCTAACAGTTAGTGTAACTTTTTGATCAGTTACGCTAACAGTTAGTGTAACTGAGGGGATCACTACGCTAACAGTTAGTGTAGCTTATCAAAAAGTTACACTAACAGTTAGTGTAACTTTTTAGCCCACTAACCACGCTACAATTCCACTAACAAGGGATTTGGTTAGTGTTAGTTTGGATTTTTTTCAGTCAGCTAACGCTACACTAAAGTTTTTTTTGATTTTTTTAGAAATCCTGTAGTGTTAGTGGCCCAAAATTTTCGCTAACAGTAACTTTTTTGTAGCGTAGCTTAAAAAGCTAACACTACGCTACACTAACACTACGGTTAGCGTAACTGGCCCACCGTTGGCATGTTGCATCACTCTTTGCTCCCATTGTTTACTTTTAGTTAAATGAATTATGTCCGTCTTTTATGTTTCTTCTCTGATCTTTTTGCTGCTATTATGCTTTCTCCTCCAATTGCTTCTTTGCTCTGATCAAAGTTGTAATGCTCCTTTGTGCTCTGATCAAGGAATCGATTTCAATCACAAGTAACTAATCAGAAAATCAATTTCAATTACAAGTATTTTAACAGAAAAGAAATGAGAAAACTCAAGGGAACATAATCCCAAAGGTGACAAAATGAACGAGAGAGAACCAACACAACATCACAGCAATTGAGTGAGTGAAAATTTGAATGCAACGATAATTGAGAGATAGAGGTCAAATCAGACAAGACAGATTGCATGAGTGAATATATTTGAAAATGTGATTAAAACAGAATAAAGTCATAAGAAAGCCGGATCGATGTTGAGGTTGTCACAAGCATCACTGTAAGCCCTGCTCCTCACAGGCTTACACAAACCTGTCACATGATTACATAAGCCTCTTCGGTCTTGTATTTAGTCTCATCTTCCCCTTCCCCTTCCTAGCTCGGTAGAGTTCTTCCTTCTACCGATGCTAGGTATGTCGTCCCATCTCTTCTTCCTCAATTCTTCTCTTCCCACTTCTCACCATTTCTAGTTGTACTTACGAGAGTTCTTCCTTCTACCGATGCTAGTAATTAAATCGACCGTGGTACTAGAAGTTCTCTCCAAGGCAAAAGGCCTTGTTCCGACCGATCTCTAAGAGCATTCACAGCTCTTACACTTTTTTTTTCTAGTTCCTCAAACAAAACTAGCAGAATTTTTTTCCATACCTTGTCAAATTGAACCCTCGAACTCCCCAAACCTCGGATACAACCAACTCAAACTCTCAATCAGACATCTGACTCAGTTGATTCTCGAATCTCAATCTCGATCTCATCCCAATTCCTCTCCTTCCTTCTTGCGATCTCAATTCCAATCCCATCAAAACCTCAAAAAATTCCCTTATTGTTCCTCGGTACCGTGCTCAAAGCCAACAACGACACACCTCTCCCTTCAAAATGTGGCAGGAATCTTATACGCCTTCCCCCCCAATTCAAACAGCGAATGGCTACGAGTTTCGTATCCGGTACTTGGAAGAGGTCGTTCACCATCTGTTAGCTGGAACCAACCCACCTCAACCACCATCTATCTCCTTGGCCCCACTGACCAGCTCATTCCGCTACTCAGCGGAGCGAGGTCTTGTACCCTTGTTATCGGATTCAGCAGCAAAATCACTGGCAAATGCCCGATCGGGCAATCACTTGACCTACCTCTCTCAGGCACCCTCCAACGAAATTCACAAAACCCCGCCCACTCAAAATCTCATCTCTCGTCGGTCCTCCTCGCTACCAACTCCCAAGTCTTTCCAATCAACAGCGAAGGCCCCTTTAAGGACATCGTTGCAGTCCTACACCGATTGTCACCCCCGACGACCCTCTGCTTCCTTGGATCGCTTGTTAAACTCTAAATCACAATCAAATTCCTTCTTCCTCAGGGCTACCAATGCCCAGTCCCCTCTTTCGGGCATCTGCTCTTCACCTCCAGACACGAAAATGTCGGCGCTGGAAACACACAATCACACTGTCACCTCCTCGCCTTCCCCACATTCAATCAGTATTGCAACCCCAAACCCGAGTCAACTAGGTTTCCTTGATGTCGATCGTTACACCAATCATCTCGAGATTGTTTGTGGCCAGCCTTCCACCGATTTTGTTCTCTGCCCTGAGGCACATGCCTCGTCTACGATGATCCTAGATGGACCTTCTACTGACGCGGTCTCTGTTCGCGAGATTCCTTTAACAACTCAAGATCCAACTTTGACCCAGCCCTTGCTCAATCCTCCTGCTCTAGATGCCATCCTGGACACCCTCGCCTCGGAAAACATTGCCTCGGAAAACAGCATCACCAAAGCTTCAGCCCAAGAAGTCACTCATAGCGATCATCCAATTGGCATTACTACCGCGACTGTTCCTTACATCTTACCCATTCCCAATCAAAAAACTTTTGCACCTGACTCTGAAGACACCTCAAACTCACTCACACCCTCTGAGTCCTCCCCTCTCACCAAACAGAAAAACATCCAAGACTCAAAATTGCCAACCAGCACCAATTCTCCATTGGACCCATCCTTGCCTGACTGCTCATCCTCATCCTGCTCTCTGACCCATCCAGTGACTCCAATTGCTCAACCTGACAACCTTGAGGTAGCTATGGTTGGAGGCATCAAAATTTTGGATGATGATGACAGCTCTCTAGAACTCCGACTGGCACCAGAATTTTCACGTGAAACTCTAGAATACTATGATGATATTGACAGCTACCTCAAACTGGCCAATACAGTGGAGACTGAAATGAAGACAAAGAAGAAAAAGAAGAAAAAGAAAAAGGCCGATCCGCCTTCAACTTCTGACAACCCAGTTTTATTTTATGTTTGATACCTTCACTCCCTGTCCCCCACACCTATCCTCCTACCTTCCTCACCACCCAATAGTCCCTCTCCCTATGAATTCTATTTTTCTCAATCTCCTCTCAGTTTTCCTTCCCAAATCAGCCACCACCCCTGATCTCTTCTATGCATCTCCCACCCACTTTCCAGTTTTCTCAGTTCTTGCTACTGTTAATTTTCCCCTTCTTTATTCTCTTTTATAGGAGGGGAGACTGTAAGCCCTGCTCCTCACAGGCTTACACAAACCTGTCACATGATTACATAAGCCTCTTTGGTCTTGTATTTAGTCTCATCTTCCCCTTCCCCTTCCTAGCTCGGTAGAGTTCTTCCTTCTACCGATGCTAGGTATGTCGTCCCATCTCTTCCTCCTCAATTCTTCTCTTCCCACTTCTCACCATTTCTAGTTGTACTTACGAGAGTTCTTCCTTCTACCGATGCTAGTAATTAAATCAACCGTGGTACTAGAAGTTCTCTCCAAGGCAAAAGGCCTTGTTCCGACCGATCTCTAAGAGCATCAGTGAAGAGCATTCACAGCTCTTACAATCACCAACAGGCCTGAGGTTTTCTTCTTCATTGTTCTGGGATTTGTTTGGTTCTGAGCTTGGATTGAGGGGATCATGATGTGTAGAAGCAAGAGATTTGGTACCTTTGCATTGAGGTTGTAGATGTAGTCAAAAGCTTCCAAGAATGGAGTGAGGTGAATGTGATCTGTGTAGGGATATATTGATGGTGTAGCAGATGGGGATATAGCAATGCTATATCTGTTTGAACATAGTTTGGATGTGATCTGAGAGGGGTAGACAGACGGGTAGATTCTCGTGAGGGGGGCCGAGAGGCCGAAGGGGGAGGTTGGGCCATCAGGGCCAAGAATCACTTGATGTCGAAGCCGAAGTGGCGTTGCAAGTGAGACTCAAGTGAGGATGACTAGTGAGAGAATAATTGTTTGAGGGAAGGTGATTGTGGGTTGTTTGAGGCAAGGCACAATGTATGAGCCTTTCCAAGTGCAACAACACAGTGCAGCAAGGGCAAGGTGTGGGTGTAAATTACAACTAAAAATAAGTAAGTACAATTTACGGTGTAAATTACAACTAAACAAGTAAAATAAGAGTGCAAAGTCAGTTTCAGAGCCAATTCCCTTAGCTTGATCTATCAAAGCAAGAAGAATATGTATAACAGCAATGAAAGACTGACTATCAATTGGCAACCTTCAATTGCTGTGGGTTTTGTTTTGCTCCAATCGATGCCCTCAACGCTATGATTGATCGGACTCAAGGGGGTCAGGTGCTGAGGGGACAAAGGCCGGTCAGCATGCTGGCCCCCATCAAAGGCATGAGGTTAGAAACCCACTTGGCAGCCAGTTGGCTGCCAAGTGGGTTGGGGTGCTCACCTGCTTGGTGGGCCCAGGCTTCGTTGATCAACTTTTCAGGAGATTAACTGTTGCAATGCGTTGATCGATCGCGCTTGGATTCAGTTTAAGATCCACTATCGCGCTGTGTTGATCGATCGGACTGCGTTGATCGATCTCGCTGTGTTGATTGATTGCGTTGCGTTGGTTGATTGCGATGTGTTGATTGATAGAGCTTGGATTCAGGAAGATCCACTATTACAAGCGCCGCAACGAATCGTTCGGCTTGGATTCGGTTTAAGCGTAGCTTGCAGGGGTCGGGTGCTGAGGGGAAAAAGGAAAGACCGGTCAGCATTCTGGCCCCCGATTGTAGTCATGAGGTTAGAAACCCACTTGGCTGCCAAGTGGGTTGGGGTGCTCACCTCCTCGGCGTGCCCAGGCTGCGTTGATGCGTTGTTCAACTGTTCAGGAGATAGACTCGATTGCAGTGCCGCAAAGAATCGTTCGGCTTGGATTCTGGTTCAGTGCAGCTTAGCTTGTAGGGGTCCGGTGCTGAGGGGACAAAGGAAAGTCCGGTCAGCATTCTGGCCCCCATCAAGATTCAAAGTCATGAAATTAGAAACCCACTTGGCAGCCAGTTGGCTGCCAAGTGGGATGGGGTGCTCACCTGCTCGGTGGGCCCAGGCTGATTTGATCGATCCTTCCGGTTAAGATCCACTGCAAGCGACTTGATCGTTTGCTAAGGGTAGCTTGCTTGTAGGGGTCAGGTGTTGAGGGGAAAGAGGCTAAGTCAGCATACTGGCCCTCATCAAAATCATGAGGTTGGAAACCCACTTGGCAGCCAGTTGGCTGCCAAGTGGGATGGGGTGCTCACCTAAGGTGGGGGGGAGGGAAGAACCTTGGCGGTATTGATTGTCTTTGGTTTGGATCCGCTCAACTTCAATGTGATCACAATACGTGAAATACGTGGGGTGTATTTCAGCGGACCTGCAATACATTTATTTGTATTGTACTCCGAGGGCAATACATAAAAAAAGAATACACTTGTATTGCAGCGGCCTTCCGCTGCAATACAAATACATGTATGGCCTATACATTTTGGTGCAATACACACCCACTAGAAATACGTGTATAGGACTTGTTGCACCGTTGATAGCATCCACTAGCGACAAGTTGCTGCAAAATTGAACTTTGAATATTCAGGATGCCCTAGCATTGTTGACAAGTACTCCCAAAGTTGGGGAGGGTTGGAAATGAATGCTAGAATATCTGGCAAGATTTGGGATCATAGCCAAACTGATGCGGTGTGCTTGAAGCTATATGTAGCAAAGCGCGGGGTTTAGCAGAGCTGATGTGGATGCTCTTACACGCTATATTCATCTTTTTGGTGCTGTTAGGAAACCTTGGTTTATCTTGTCTCCCTCTCGTTCTTTGTTATGAAAACGACTTGTTTTGTTGGCAATCTAGTTTCTTCAAGAGTTCTGATATGCAATTCAAAGCACAAGATCCTAAACAAGCCTGAGGTCTTTTTATTTTGAGTGTTGCAAAAAATGCGGGAAAAACACACAAATACAGAGAAGATTGGCTCCTGAAATTGATCTTTGCAGGGAAATCTAATATATGAGGGGTTGTGATTCTGGTTTTACAATAACTTCATGAAAGTCCCCCCATGCACTTACTGACTGGCAACTTGTTTTACTACACTGTGCTACAAAAGAAAACCTTGTGAAGCTGAACAGAAATGATCTTTGGTTCATTTCAGGGCACATTTCATGTCTTGTGCTCAGTTGAGCTCTTTTTTTGGAGCCATTTTTTTGTGAAACACAAGACCACATCATTTTCCCAAGCCCAGAGTGTCTGTAGTTGGACTTTGGGGTTGCAGTTTTTCTTGCGGTTAGAAGATTTGTCTATTTATTTTTCTTGCTTCAACTTGAAATATCCTTAAAATCCGGAGGGTCCCTTTAGATAAGTTAGTTCAAAACCTATAGAACAACATTTGTTTCCTAAATTCAAGAAGTATTACTAATGTGATTATAGGTTTTTTCTTGTAGGAGTCTTGATTGAACAGCAAGCATGCAAGATGGATGTGAGACATTACTCTAACTTAACTAGTCCCTCCTTATAGAGGGGGGACTAGTTAAGTTAGGACATTACTCAGGATTATTTCTGTAAACATCTTCATGAGGTGCAAACAGTGATGGGTTTCTTGTATTTCTTAGAACAATGGATAAATTAGGAGGCAGTAAGAGTGTTTGCAGTCAGAGACTGACAGACAAGAGATGTAAAACACACCAAGACAAATTATGGGGAATGAAGTGGAGAAAAAAATGAGACTGATGATCAAATACATAAGTTAGAGGTTATTTG